TGCAACACGAACAGAAACAGACAGACAGGCAGAGACAAGACAGGACTTATGACAAAAACTGCTCTATGCCGCTACTGATTTGAGCTGCCAGTCTATTTTGGGATTGTGGCGAGTGAGCCATGGGTGACCAAGAACGATTGGTGCAAGGACCATCGGACCATCGGAGTCTAACCGGAAGGAGAGTCGATGTCGATGAGGTCTTCTCGGCGGAGATCCCACCCGATAGTAGCCTCATACTTACTATTGGGCTGGGCCTTTTAACAAACAGTTGTAGGCGAAGTGTCCCGTTCCACCACAGTCCAAGCAAAGGCCCTAGGATCTCCGCCTTTTCCTCTCCTCCGGGAAATCCGGGCTCGACCCACCTGCATGGGCTCGGGATCGTAGACGGGCTGACTGCGTCCCCACCTCCAGTGCGTTGACCCTCAGAGTCCACCGAAGAACGGTAGTTTGATACTCTCTGCTCCACATGAGACAGCCTGACGTCCACTCTTAATGCTAGGGCAATTAAATCGTTGAGTCTGGGTGGTAAGTCCATGGCATAAATTTCCTTCTGGACGTGGTCAGCCAACCCATGCTTCCATCTTTGGTCAGATCATTATGTAACGGATAAACTGCAGCAAATGCAAGCAAATGCAAGTTACTCAATATTTATTAGAAAAAGGCACAAAATCAACAGGCAGTCAGGCTAGCGGCGCAGGGACTCAATGGTCAGATGTAACAGGTGCAATATTGAAGTGAAGTGACGATCAACAAGACGAATCCAGACATCCACGGGGAACAGACAGGTACAACGAAGGAGACTGGAACGAAGAGGGATCTGACACCGGACATCAACAAACAACGATCTGACAATGGAGATGATAAATTTATGAGATTATATACACAGGAATGGATAGGCTGCAGCTGGTGATGAGTGATTGCTGAATGAGCGCAGATGAGCGGCCATGCCCCTCTGATCAGCGCACACACATACAACAACAGAAACACGAGACACGAAGAAGACATAGGATTTACCAACCGTGACACCGGGACAATTATTTATAACGCTGACCATGAACAGACCACACTTAAATATTTAATAAATAAATATTTTAAATATTTTAAAGTGCTTATAATTTAGGTCAGATTCGACTACCTAACTTGAGGATAATAAAAATAGAAATGTATGCAAATTAAAAAATATAAAAATTTTAAATGTATTGCAATGTATTGCATGTACTGCAAATGTATTGTGATACAGTAGCAGTGAGTAAAACAACCCAAATGCTGTTGACAACAGCACCAACCTCATAGTTCACCCAAAAATAAAAATGATGTCATGAATTACTCATTCCCATGTTGTGTGAAACCTGTAAGATTCTTCTGTTCATCTTTGGAACAAAAATTAAAAACATTTGAATAAAATCTGAGAGCTTCCAGTGAGCAACTCAACTCAAGGCCGAGACATTTTTAGAGTCACTAGTCATTTCATTATCAGAGTGTGTTGCTATGAAAGATCACTGAGAGATAATCATGGTCATGTTAGTAATAAAGGCAAGTAAGATTAATAGATGTGGTATTTAGTTGTTATTTTAAAATTTTGAGAGAGAATATCCCTCAGATCTGTTAAAATACTTATAACAGTAAACCTTCATAGTCGCACATTCCTGTTTTATCTGCAGAATAACAACTACAACCTGCATTTAAAAATGAATCGATATATTCTTTTGATTAATGGCCACACTCTCCTTTGGAGTATTATGGCCACCATGAGCAGCATTATACGTCTGTTTGGTGTTTTTAAAATATATATATATATATCTTCTGTAAACACGCTGCATAGACAAGCTCAACATAGCGTCTTCATGTGATCCTTTAAAGGAAAGTCGAGGAAAAGAACCGGAGGGGTTACTTCAGCACTACTCAAGTTTCCTGTCTTGATAAAACACTGTTCAGTTATTATGAATCGTCTTGGTTACGTATGTAACCCTGAGTAGGGAACGGACACATTCCGTCGTGACGACGAATCGAGTTTCGCTTAGAAAGCCTAACGACTTCGAGTATTACGAAACAAGCCAATAGCAAACAAATGCCATGGGTCTGCGGATTTTGCATGGCGCAACTCTGCCCCTCCTCGTGGGTATTAAAGGAGGACACCAGCAACATGCAGAGGGCTTACAGAAGACACATATGACCCGGAGGGGGTTGCATATGGAGAACACTGGGGTGTCCGGCCGCAGGTGGAATATTTCAACTCCAGGGGTGGCAAGGTGGTTTGCCAAGGGAAAGACACATGCTCAGCGAGGCTTACAGTGGAAATACACATGTGGGGGTCGCCCAGAGGAGGGACCATGCCCAGGGGAGGCACCTAGAGGATGCACAGGTAATAGACACTGGCGTCGACGTCAGCAGTTCTGAAGGAACTCAGGGCTTCTCCAGAAAGATCATCTGAGGAAATATCGCACGTATCCAGTATATGGAGTGGAATGGCGAGCCACCCAGGACACCTGAGCGGGTCCTAGTACTGGCTGGTTGAAGTGAGTACACGAGAGGACACAGGCACCATTCGGAGATTGTAGAATCTGGTGAATGTGTAGGGTGTCGCCCAGCATACAGATCTGTATATGGCGCCATGCGCTAGAGCCCAAGATTAACCCACACTCCGGTGGAATGGCCTGTCACACCAACCCGTCCAGATGTTCAGGCAGATGTTCAGGCAGGTGCTCAGGAATATGTTCAGACAGATGTTCAGGCTGGTGCTGAGGCAGATGTTCAGGCAGGTGTTCAGGCAAGTGTTCAGGCAGGTGTTCAGGCAGGTGCTCAGGCAGATGTTCAGGCAGAAGTTCAGGCAGATGTTCAGGCAGGTGTTCAGGCAGATGTTCAGGCTGGTGCTGAGGCAGATGTTCAAGCAGGTGTTCAGGCAGATGTTCAGGCTGTTGTTCTGGCAAGTGTTCAGGAAGATGTTCAGGCAGATGTTCAGGAAGTTGTTCAGGCAGGAGTTCAAGCAGATGTTCAGGCTGGTGCTGAGGCAGATGTTCAAGCAGGTGTTCAGGCAGATGTTCAGGCTGGTGCTGAGGCAGATGTTCAAGCAGGTGTTCAGGCTGTTGTTCAGGCAGGTGTTCAGGCAGGTGTTCAGACAGGTCTTCAGGCTGGTGTTCAGGCAGATGTTCAGGCAGGTGTTCAGACAGGTCTTCAGGCTGGTGTTCAGGCAGATGTTCAGGCAGGTGTTCAGGCAGGTGTTCAGGCAGGTGTTCAGGAAGATGTTCAGGCAGGTGTTCAGGCAGGTGTTCAGGAAGATGTTCAGGCAGGTGTTCAGGAAGATGTTCAGGCAGGTGTTCAGGAAGATGTTCAGGCAGGTGTTCAGACAGGTGTTCAGGCAGGTGTTCAGGAAGATGTTCAGGCAGGTGTTCAGACAGGTGTTCAGACAGGTGTTCAGGAAGATGTTCAGGCAGGTGTTCAGGCAGGTGTTCAGACAGGTGTTCAGACAGGTGTTCAGGCAGATGTTCAAGCAGGTGTTCAGGCAGGTGTTCAGGAAGATGTTCAGGCAGGTGTTCAGACGGGTGTTCAGGCAGGTGTTCAGGCAGATGTTCAAGCAGGTGTTCAGGCAGGTGTTCAGGAAGATGTTCAGGCAGGTGTCAGGCAGGTGTTCAGGCAGGTGTTCAGGTAGGTGTTCAGGCAGGTGTTCAGGCAGGTGTTCAGGCAGGTGTTCAGGCAGGTGTTCAGGAAGATGTTCAGGCAGGTGTTCAGGAAGATGTTCAGGCAGGTGTTCAGACAGGTGTTCAGGCAGATGTTCAGGCAGGTGTTCAGGAAGATGTTCAGGCAGGTGTTCAGACAGGTGTTCAGGCAGGTGTTCAGGCAGATGTTCAGGCAGGTGTTCAGGCAGGTGTTCAGGAAGATGTTCAGGCAGGTGTTCAGGAAGATGTTCAGGAAGATGTTCAGGCAGGTGTTCAGGCAGATGTTCAGACAGGTGTTCAGGCAGGTGTTCAAGCAGGTGTTCAGGCAGGTGTTCAGGCAGATGTTCAGACAGGTGTTCAGGCAGGTGTTCAAGCAGGTGTTCAGGCAGGTGTTCAGGCAGGTGTTCAGGAAGATGTTCAAGCAGGTGTTCAGACAGGTGTTCAGGAAGATGTTCAGGCAGGTGTTCAGGAAGATGTTCAGGCAGGTGTTCAGGAAGATGTTCAAGCAGGTGTTCAGGCAGGTGTTCAGGCAGGTGTTCAGGAAGATGTTCAGGCAGGTGTTCAGGAAGATGTTCAGGCAGGTGTTCAGACAGGTGTTCAGGCAGGTGTTCAGGCAGATGTTCAGGCAGGTGTTCAGGAAGATGTTCAGGCAGGTGTTCAGGCAGGTGTTCAGGAAGATGTTCAGGCAGGTGTTCAGGAAGATGTTCAGGCAGGTGTTCAGGAAGATGTTCAAGCAGGTGTTCAGGCAGGTGTTCAGGCAGGTGTTCAGGAAGATGTTCAGGCAGGTGTTCAGGAAGATGTTCAGGCAGGTGTTCAGACAGGTGTTCAGGCAGGTGTTCAGGCAGATGTTCAGGCAGGTGTTCAGGAAGATGTTCAGGCAGGTGTTCAGGAAGATGTTCAGGCAGGTGTTCAGACAGGTGTTCAGGCAGGTGTTCAGGCAGGTGTTCAGGCAGATGTTCAGACAGGTGTTCAGGCAGGTGTTCAGACAGGTGTTCAGGAAGATGTTCAGGCAGGTGTTCGGGCAGGTGTTCAGACAGGTGTTCAGGAAGATGTTTAGGCAGGTGTTCAGTTACGAAGTTCTATAAAGTGGAAACATAATGTCAGTTACGGTTAGTTTGTTATATTACTATATGTTACTATGTGTATCTTTAACTACACATTATTATGAAGAACTTTATCATGTTGATGTTAAGTTTCAGCTCAAATTACCCCACAGATCATTTATTATAGGATGTTTCAAAAGCCCCTATTTAGGTGTGAGCAAAAATGAACTCTTTCTGTATGTGTATCTTTAAATGCAAATGTGCTGCTGCACACACCCTCTTAATAAAAGTAATAAACGTGTGTATGAACTATACCGACAGTGAGCGTATTTAGGTTGAAAGTTAAACAAATAAAAACCACATTAGCACTTTCAGAAAGACGATTTGCAATTACTCACAAATTATAAAGTGTATCCACTGCATCCTCAGTGGCTCGGATGTCAGGAATTTATTGTTAATTTTAACACTCTTGAGTGTGGAGTCAAATTGACTCTGAGAAGTGTTAATTTAACTATGTTTAACCATTATAACTGTTTTTTTTTTTGTTGGCTGTATTAATGAACATAAAAGTCTCACTGAAGTAGTAAAGGGACAGCCTTCTGATACAGCTGTGATTTAATAAACTCTACAAATACAAAAAAGTCTCTACAAAACTCTACAAAAAAGTAAAGTATACTTGTACAGTCAGATTACAGTTTAGAAATTAGTTTAAGGTACAGTGTGTTTTACTAATGATTAAGGTAGTGTGGTTTCAGTACTCTGTAATAATTACACTAAATCTCGATTATAGAGTTAGAAAAACATGAATACACCATAAAAGAAGAGCTTGGGCAAGGATCGTCAGCAATATCATTTCTGGTGAACAGTGCAGAGGAAGATCCTTATATGGTCAAAGAGATCAGTTATAGAGATGTAAGTATACTATCTGACGTTTATTAAAGCATTCACCATAATTACATCTGTTTGCTATTACAAATGCAACTTAGGATGGCATTTTAACTGTTATAAGTGTCACTTTTACATTTAAGTGTTTCTTTAGCAAAAAAAAAACAACAACAAAAAAACAATAAATAAAAAGTGTTTCTGTCAGGAGACGAATCTGGATGAAATCAAAGAGGAAGTCGAGATCTTGAGAAGTCTGAATCATCCATATATTGTTGACTACGAGGAATCATTTGAAGGTGTGTTTGTTTAAAGAGTCAGTCTTCCTTAATTCTGGATTTAAAATATAACTTTTTTTCCCCAAAATAAATTTGTCCGATAAATGGTGAACGTGTTTCGTGTAAAAAATGAGGGACAATAAAACAAAGACCATCTGAAAACCAAAAATCCTCTGATGATCATTTGCAGCAAAATTCTTAAATATACATTGATGAATGTATTATCAGTTAAATTATTATTCTTTGACTGATTTTGTCTTTATTTAGATCAAGCAACTGGACATGTTTATATTGTGATGGAGTATTGTGCTGGAGGAGATCTTTACAAGAAGATGCAAGCAGCGAGAAATGATGGAGTTTTTGAGAAACCAGAGGTGTGTTATTTCACTCATGGAAATATACATGTAATTCAATTTAATTTAAATTAATTTGTTTACATTTAAAGGAAAAAAAGAAAACTGCAATATTGCGCATTTGATAGATAACTAGTTCTTTTGATAAAGTAAAATTGTTTAAAATATGATACGTAAAATATGCTTGTTAGTGTTACAACGAGTGAACTCAAAACAAAGAAGATCTGGATCCAAATTCAGTGAGTTTAATAATAAAATAAACATAACAACAAATCCAATATGGGGAACCAGAGAACAGAAAGAGTACACCAAACATAACATCCAGGAAAATACTCTGGGTTTAAATACACAAGGGGTAATTGTCAGATTACAAGATAGACCTGTGTGTGTTTCTTCTGTGTGCAGATCCTTGACTGGTTTGTTCAGATTTGTCTGGCTCTGCAGTATCTCCATGAGAAGAACATTCTCCACAGAGATATAAAACCTCAGGTAAGCAATGAAAAATGCTTAATCATTAAAAAAATAAAAAAATAAAAATAAATAATAATAATCAAATATATAAATCCGAACCAGATGAGAATGATTTATGAGGTTTACACACACACACACGCACACACACATAATTCTTATATCATATCATTCTAGAATGTTTTTCTGACTGAGGATGGTTACATTAATCTTGGTGATTTTGGATGCTCAAAAGTACTAAGAAGGTGAGAAATTGGGATTTTTAAAAGCTATTTATTTTTTCTTGACATTATTAGTTTCATTTTACATGAGTAATTGTTTGTTTGTTTTTAGCACTGATGTTTATGCAAAATCAGTTGTGGGTTCAGATCTCTATGTAAGCCCAGAAGTGCTTGCACACAAGTGTGATTTTAAAAGGTATGTTTTTGTACTATTGAGTTAAATTAAATAATTACCGGTAACTAACAGCTACTTTTTGACTTGTTTAGTGACATATGGTCACTGGGATGGTTGCTCCACGATCTCTGCATGCCTAATGTCTGGGTGAGTATATTGTTTTCTTCTTGTTAAGCACTGTATTAAACTGTACTTTGCAATAATATTAACTGCTGGGAATTATGATAATTAGCTTTATAATGTAAATTTACTGGATACAATTAGAGGAACTCAGCAGTGTTTAAGAAATCTTAAAAATGCCTAGGGGATTTTATTAAAGGTAATAAGAAAGAGATACTGGCAAACAGACAGCAGATACTGTTAGGACCTCAAAAAACTCAGGAACCTCTTGAGATCTAACTAGAGTCCCATTCACACAGAGATTCCAGAAAATACACATGTGACCAGGGGCTCGTTCTTCGTACGTTGCTTAAAACATCCGAGATCAAATGAGACATCCAAGATAATATCGTGCTAATCATGATCCGGCTAATTGGGTTCTTCGAACACACCTGTTTATGATTAGTATAGCTGGATTGAGTTATCTGAGATAACTGCACGTTCTCGCGTTGGTTTAAAAGGGGACATGTATCGATAGCAGAACCAGTGATCAGCAACGCTGCTATTGGCTGTTCAGCATGACCAAAGAACACGCCCAGTTTTTCTCCCAAGCAGAGCAAGCGCTTTTAATGAAAGGTTATGCCGAATTTCAGTCTTTAATTAAAACGCCAGGAACACCTCAAAGTGTGCAAAAGTCAGGAGAGAGTGCTGGCAAAAGTAGAAGACAAATTAAATGCGTTTGTGGTGGCCATGTTAGATGTTTTAATAACTTATTATTATTATTTTATTTTTATTTTCATAATTTCAATTACTTTGTTCATTGTAATGTCGAGTCACCACACTATACCAGTGTGGTGTATACCAGTACACCACAATAAACATGGTGAAAGTGAAGTACAAAAATATTCTACTGGTAATTTTACTAGGCCTTATAGGCCTACTAGTCTCTTTTAAAAAGGCACTGTTAAATAAATGATTGTCTGTTTATAAAAGCAAGGAAAAATGCTGAGAAAAAAAATAATAGCCTAATGCTGCTCCTGACCCTGGCAGAAGAGCTGACCCTTGGGTTGAATGTGAATTGGCCTGTTGTGAAGGGCATCCCTGGGTTCAGCTCTTCCAGACCCACATCAGGGACCAGTAGCAGCAACACCTACATCACTGGGAAATGAGATTTAAATTATCTTTGTACACTGTGAAATAATTTGTTGCTGCATTAAATGAAGTAGACCTATAATCCAAACTGGCTGGTTTAGTCATTTCAACTGTTAAATCTTGAGTAATAATAAATTGCTTTGTCTTGTGAAAGTAAAAACTGATAAACTTATGTTAATGTAAAAAATATTTTGCCATGAGTTATCAATCACATTGCACTGGAGAGTGAAGAAAACTTCTCAGATGACTGTCCTTTGGAGGAAGAACTTTAATTTAATTGATGGCTTTAATTGATTTCTACTTGTGCCTATGCCTGTTATTTCTGACAGGAGTCGACATGTACAGAAAGGCCTACAGAAGAGTCTGCACACAGCAGTGATACAGGGGAGGGCAGTGTAGAGACAACTTTTGCTTTTTATTTGTTGCATGAGGCATGTGTGACACAAACGACACAGGGTAAAATTCGTTCCCTATATGAGTCTTCAACAGAAAATAGAGTATTTTGAAAAAACAAAAATCAGGGGGAGAAACAGAACCTGACAAAGAAAAAATTGCACTAGAAATAGAGTTGCTTCAAAAATAAACTTCAGAGTAAAATACACTATTTCACACAGAGTACTATTGCTGACCTTGCATATTATCTTTTAAAAAGATGACTGAATAACTGGCTTTTCTTTACAAAGAACTATTGAAATAAAACTCTAAGCAAATAGAGTTTTGCAAATTTGTCTTGTCTTTTATTTTAGGCTTAATTAAACTTTTTTTCTTTTCTTTTTCTGATGTTGGCAGTGTTGTGTAATATGGCACATGCAATGTCACAGGCCCAGTCAGGTGCAACCCTCAGGGTTTTTAGACCCTGAAATCTTCCCTTTAGTTGGCCAAAGCTCATGTCATTGTGTGCCCTTGTCCTAGAGCTGCATTGTAACTGGTCTGGGGTTTGGGTCAGGGAATGGGGTCATAAAACACCTGTCTCCATGCAGGATCCTGTAATCACCTGTTTAATGGAAAAATGCAGTTCTCAGCATAAGTGTATGTAATACCGTGAGTTTGATATTTATAATTTTCCTTACCATGTTCAAATAATGTTCATAAATGTGAATCTCTTAAAATTCTTGAGTCATGCACTGGCCATTTTGCTTTCACACTGATTTGTGATATGGAACATGTCACACAGAGATTTTACTCAGTCAACTGCCTTTTAAAAAAAGTGATATAATATTACTAATCTGGAATATTAAACATTGTAATAGTAATTTGGCTGCACTGTATAAGCCCCCTTTCTGCTCACAAAATCCCTTCATTGAGGCCTTGATGGGAACATGTGTGTAGTCTACAGTGTATGGCACCAATCACGTAAGTTAAGCCTAAGGGACTGTAAGTCATAATCGGCATGGTCATCATGATTGCATTATCTTCATTAAAAATTATAATATACCCTAAGTTGGCAAAAAAATCTCCAATAGTCTAAAGGGAAGCCACTCGCAAATAATTTTAGGGCAATGCAAACATTTTGTGCTGTTGTTGAAGCCCGACATCGAATCGAACATTAATGTGCATTTCCAACAAAATAATAATGTATATACGACACCCTCACGACGATCGTTTCACGAGAAAAAAATAAAATAAATCTCAGAAATTAGGCTACACTGTCACACTGCGCTAAAGGACTTCCTGTATCAGTCGCGATGTAATCCTGTTTACATGAAATAAGCCTGCTCGCGAGCAGGTTCAAGCTGACGGACCTGTTGCTATGACAGCAAGTCCAGGATGAGCTTCGAAGAACCAAACGATCCAAGATCATGGCAAATCGCCAACAATCAAATCCAGCTAACTGAGTTAGCGACGTACGAAGAACGAGCCCCTGGTATTTGTCTCGGGATTGTTTGATTTCGGTTCATTCACACTGCCAGTGATTTGCCGGGATCTGTGAGTGCGTTCACACACAACCCGTAAAAATCCCGGGAAGACACATGACGTCAGGATGAGACGTGTAACGTAGGTGTCGAAAACATGTACACGCGCATACCGTTCCACAAAGCTGGTGAACGATCTCAGCTTCAGCGCGGATAGTGAGGAGCTCCTGGTCTCTGCTTCGTTCCATTTTGCAGACATTTGTTCGTCCTTTCTTTGTTGATGGCGAACACAAACTTTCTTCTAAGAGCAACAGAGTCGCGCGATGGCACAAGCGTCATCACTATAACACGCCCTTAACGGCATTGGTCCTGGCTTTTGTTCACACGGCGCGCGTTCCGGGACTGATCATGGCAATGTTACTAGGTCCCCAACCCGGGATCAGTCCCGGTATCAATCCCGGGTCGTGTTTGCGTTCACACAGAAGGCGTTCTGGCAATTTCCCGGGATCAACGCGCTGTGTGAAAGGGGCTTAGTAGTGGCAGCAAAATGTGTACATTATTTGTTATTTGTATAAACTCTCCATTGTCAGTCTGTAGAGGTTAACCAGATTTTCCTTCATCCCACAGTCAGATAGCATAGAGCGTCGCTGTGCACATGCTTCAAGCTTGAATGGAGCCCCACCTCAGATCTCAGAGAGATACTCAGAGGAACTGAGGAAGTTGATCAGTCAAATGCTCAGCTGTGACCCTAAAGACAGACCTTCAGCTGATGAGATTCTGGCAAAACCATTCCTGAAAGAAGCAGTAAAGAGAAACAACAGAATCCCAGTAACACTGAAACAAAGATTCATGGAGGCCACTGAGATCTTTGAGAAGACATACAAAGACTCGAAGGCCTTTCTTAGTGAGTGGAAAGAAATAATTGATTCAGTAGAAGAGATTCACCGTAAATGCACTATAGGCAGTCTGACAGGTTCAGTGATCGGAGCCGCTGGAGGAATCACTGCATTAGTTGGTGCAATTTTGATACCTTTCACTTTCGGAGCATCTCTGATAGTATCAGGTGTTGGGATTGGTGTTGGAGTTGCAGGTGGGGCAACAAGTGCTGTATCCAACATTACCAATGCAGTCAAACAAAAAGCACTCTATGAAAAACTAGACAAAATTAGCCAGAAGTACAAAGATGTTCACGAACAGATTTTCAACTCATCAGAGACATTGAGGTTACTAAGAAAAATCCAAAAGTTCAGAGGTTTTGTTGGAGATTTTGATAACAGGCAGGACCCGTGGTTGGTAGGGAGAATTACTTTTACATTATTGAATGCCACAAAAATCATTTTTCTAAGTGTGTTGGCAAATCTTGGGAGTGCAGCTGCTCGGGCAGATGTTCAGGCAGGTACTCAGGCAGGTGCTCAGGCTGGTGTTCAGGCAGATGTTCAGACAGATGTTCAGGCAGGTGCTCAGGCAGGTCCTCAGGCAGGTTTTCGGACAGGTGCTCAGGCAGGTCCTCAGGCAGGTCCTCAGGCAGGTCCTCAGGCAGGTGCTCGGGCAGGTCCTCGGGCAGGTCCTCAGGCAGGTCCTCAGGCAGGTCCTCAGGCAGGTTTTCGGACAGGTGCTCAGGCAGGAGCTCGGCAGGTCCTCAGGCAGGTGCTCAGGCAGGTGCTCAGGCAGGTCCTCGGGCAGGTCCTCAGGCAGGTCCTCAGGCAGGTCCTCAGGCAGGTTTTCGGACAGGTCCTCAGGCAGGTGTTCGGGCAGGTGTTCAGCTAGGTTTTCAGACAGGTTTTTTGGCTGCCAGAGCAGGACGAGGAGCAACGGCAGCAGCAGAAGCAGTAGTTGCAATGGCTGCAGTCTCAGGTGTGTTGAGTAGTCTCTTAGTCATAGCCGATGCTGTCTTCATAGGAATAGATTCCAGAGAGATTCACGAGATGAGACAGGGAGAAATAAATGATCCAGAAAAGATCAAATCCAGTGTCCTCAAGGGCATTGCACAGATGAGGAAAATGCATAAAGAACTTGACAATATCTTGGAGGGAATTAAAGAAACAACGGAGGCACTAAAACAGAATTATTAAGTGAAGAAGTGAAAGGGTTTTGCAGAAACAAAATGTATATAAGCCAAACAAATGTGTTTAGGGCCAAGCTGTGATTATTCTACTGAACATAAGACATTATTTCATTATAACCTATAACATACAGGTGGCAGTTTTGTTCATGCATTATTTTTCATGATTTACTTTTTAAGGAATTCATTTTTGCTTTGTTTTAGATGTGTTTTAATGATTTATTATGGGTAAAAATAACTGACTCAAACCTGATTCTGGAAAAATTACAAGAAAAATATTCTCATATCCGCATAATATGAGACAATCCCCTCCTAGATTAACAGCTAAATAATACAGTTTTATATTATTATTGTGTCTTTGTTAGTCAACTTTATTACTTAATTGTTATTGCATTAATCATAGCACTGTGATCATATTTACCAATCTTTACCCATGATTGTTGTATTTAACTGGCTCAGAGCATTCCAATGTAAATGGATTTTATATAGACAAAAATACCAAAAAATAAACATGTAGCAAAAAGGACTTGTTATTTTTGCAAGCAGCAGCAGGGAAGATCATGTGGTCATGGCTAATATTGGTCCTTAATTTAAGTTGATGAAGGAACTTTCAATATATAGACATGGTGACAGTGCTATTCCTATTTACTTAAAATTGTAATATCTTACATGTCATAAATAAATTTATTTACTTTATTTTGTGAATTGCACAATCTGTTTCTGATATAGTTGATGCTAACCATCACAGGTGGGTACAGTATCCAAAAACTCTCCTCAAGTAAAAGTACAAGTACTTATAGAAAAGGTAATGATCTTAACAGTTACTTGAGTAAGAGTAAACAAGTATCCAATGAAAAAACTACACAAGCAGCTTCTTTGTATTATAATACTGTATTAATAAATCCCTGGATCACTGACCTGCACGTCTTTTCCGAGGCGCTGATTGGCTCGCTGGACGGATGCTGCGACTAATCTGGTTTAATATAAACATAATAGTGGCCTTTTTTACAATATACACAAATACAATAACATATTATTTAGACAGATATTTAATTTAAATGATTATATCATTATCATAATTAGATATCTTTGCAACAAACACAAGCATGTAATTGAAACTGATGCAGAGAAGAAAGAGTTAAAACTCTTAAAACTCTCCACATGTGCTCGCGCAGTGCTCTGCTGAATATCTGAACACAAACAACGATCAAATGCACATGACAAATCTTCTTCCATCTGTTCTCTAATATGTAAGCAAATGTATATTTCTGCAGGTGCATGTAAATGGTTTACTGAATCTAACAAAGGCAAGATGAGTTTGCCCGCTACTGTGTAATACACAAATACTGCGGGTTGGGTTTTTCAATTCATACAGTAATTTGTGAACAATGGAAGCTTTTTTAATGTATAAATGAAGGTAGGCTTCAGGTAATGTCGTACTTTGTAGTAGTAATATTGAAGTGTAATAATCTTTTTTTATTAGTAAAATGTACTATTACCTGTATGTAATGAAATCAGATGTTGCCTGTAGAATCGTTCACAGACAGCATACACACTTGTTATAGTTTAATAATTATTCATCGCTGGCAAACAATAGGATGCTAAAGTTTTATTTTTTTTCCTGTTTTAAAGGAGTAGTTCACTTAAAAAAAGGTTTTGCTGATAATTTACTCACCCCCATGTCATTCAAGATGTCCATGTCTTTCTTACCGTGTAGTAAAATGCACACAACTTATTCTTCGTTCTCGTAGAACCTAAAGGGTTAAGTATTTCTTATTCATCTTCATACAAATTAAGTTTTAAAACATCTGGATGTTCTCTAAAAAAAAAACAAATGTTCCTTAAAATAAAGTCCATCCTTATAGTCCATCAAAAACAGTTTATCTTGGACCTTGTTATTTTCAGACTGTATTTGGAACAGTAATTTGGGAACAGTTGGGACCATAGGATTCCTATTTTGTCCTCACAGTGTGTGGTGTACAGGCTCGGTGTAGTCCATCTTGGCCTACAATGTTCTTTAATTGTAGTCGGATAACGAACCACCTCAAAAGCTTTATCAAATAAATCAGATGAATGCAAAACCAGAGCACTTTGAAATATCAAAAGCACTACTTTCAAGATGAAAAATACACGAATCACAGTTATCTTTGAAAAAACAAAAAAGAGACATTTGAAGAAGAATTTGGATCAGTCTCAGAATTTTCAGTGATCTAGATTCAAGCTGTGTTGCTGACTCTTCACTGGGTCAGTCATTTATGTTATCCGATTGTCCGAAAACAAAGCATTTGTGCTTCCAGTAAACATGTTTTTTAAAAGAATGGAATTGTGAAAAAGTTGATTGGCGCTGATCTATACCACAGGTGATACTACAATTTGGTTCATGTGCATGGTTCCATGCCAAAGGGACAAAGCATTTTGGGGGCACTGACTGTTTAAATGGGAAGGAAATTTAGTTTTGACACATGAGTGAAATGTTGGAGGGGTATGAGCTTTTGCAAGTGAACCGTGGTGTTGTTCTGAACTGTAAGATTGGGTTTTGCGAATGCTTCAGTGTTTGAGAATGTTTCAAGAAATGAGCCAAAGCCATAGAGAAAAATTGTTAAAACATGTTGAATGTATTGTTCCCCTAAAATTGCAATTAAATATACAGTATAAGAACTAATACTTGATCACTGACATTGATCAAAAGGTCACAAACCATGTCAGTGTATTAATATGAAGAATTGAACTCTTCTGCATGAAATACAGGACTAAACAACTGGGGAACCTGAATTGCTTGTTTTCAAAAATCCGGTTTATTATTACAAAGTTACTTTAAGGGGGTCAAATCAAGTTGAAATGGCAAACTATATAATTTAACCCCCATTTTTTGTAACTTTGGTCTGGCATAAAGACCGCGTTGCTCATGTTGCCCGAAATGTTCGCCCAATAGTGAAAAGTAATGTAAATAAGAAAATAATTAGAGTGATAAATGCAACATTGCAACACAGGGTTTATTTAATAAATTGTAATTTATTATTATTATTATTTATTAAATATACAGTTCAGTTTAGAATCAGAATAGAATCAGTTCTAGAGATAGTTTTAAAGTTATTACAAACACAAAGTTTGAAGCTATATAAATATTTGTAGCCTGAATTATGTAATTACTGACAACTATTTCAAGAAAATCAAGAAAATAAATGAATCACTCAATTGACAATAATCAACGTATTATTTTGATAATGTTTTTATAAATTATATATTTATGTATCTTCTTGTCCACTCCCACAAATAAATTACATTTAGTCAACAGAAATGGAAATGATATAGTTAGTTTGTTTTTAATAAAACCCAAACGTCGTCAGGTTTACTGAAGTAAAAACGTATTTGATTGAACTTTATAGACTCTTAAGCCCTATTCGCACGGGATTAGTATTATCTGGTGACCTGTAGTAATTTGTAATAATTGCGGAGTTTGTCTGAGATCTTAATCCCGTGCGAATCGGCCATGTCTGTAATTTGTAAAGTAAAAATTCCCCCGCAAATTACCTACTATATTTTGCCGAACACCGAGGTCCTGTGATAATATTAGTCCCGTGCGAATCGACATCTCTGTGATTTGGCCGGATCGTATATCAGTTTTTCAAGGTTTTTGTTTCATCTGTGCCTTTTTATCCTTCTTTCGCGAAGAATAGAGGCTGAGTTGGAGTGTTTTGATAGTATTTTGGGTGCGGGGTCATATTTTCCGCACTATATGGCGCACTTAAAAGCCTTTAATTTTCTCAAAAAACGACAGTGCGCTTTATAATCCGGAGTACCTTATATAAGGATCAATTAGTTAACAATGCTCCGCGTTATTAAATTCACCCGCGAACTCGCGCTCGTGTCCACCTTATGCCCGCTCTGTCACACGGCCAGTTCAAACGGTTCAACCTCGTATAAATCAGGTTATGTGTGTCTCCCGCTCACGAGCACTCACTCTAAACTGACGCACACGAACAGACACACTGTCCCCGGTGCTGCTCGTGCGTCACAGAATGTTCATAAAGCGCTCCCCGTTCACAGTAACCAGGTCGTCTCATTCAAAACAGATTGAATACTGAATTGAATACTCATATGAGTCAGGCTGCTAATGTAAGTGCCCGCCCCAGTGCGCTCACGCCTACTAAATAAACGCCTCACCTCCGGCGCCGCGCACTCATACATTCCCTTTAGCCTTTAGCACATCTAGTGGATGCGTAACGCAAACCCAGTCAAACGTTTGACTGCAGTATCTTATGCGCCTTATAATCCGGTGCGCCCTATATATGAAAAAGGCGCAGAAGAGCAAAAACAAAAAGAAGGATTAGATGGAGATGAATGACATGTTTAGCAGCATATGGTAAGGACAATTCTTCTGTTTATTATATAGCCTACACTTAGACATAATAACGACAAGACATTTCAAAGCTATAGCCTAATGACATCATATCCGGGAAATAAGTCAGTAAATTCGAGTAAAATCACAGGCTTCGCTGATCCCGTGCGAATGCGCCACATGAAATTCAGATGTGGGTGGGTAATTTCAAATTCACACATGGTCCCCAGGTAATACTAATCCCGTGCGAATAGGACTTATATTAGATATTTTTATTTCAGAAATGTTGGAGAATTGCCAAAAAAAACATGTTCAAAACCGCCTGTTTGAATTCACATTTACATAACCTTAGTTGGACTAAGGTTTGTTGGACTTGGTGTTGGACTCGATCTACTCAATCTGTGTTTTGATCATCGTTCTGAATCTGACCAAGGCGTACTCTGTGTGTAACTATTTTTTTAACTTTTTTTTTTTATGTTGCCTTTCTTTATGAAAATTACGGACATTCAAGTGGTGATAAAAAGGGTGCTTGAAGCTAAAACAATTTTTTTTATAGTTTTTAAAATTAGTTAAAGTACAGTTAAATATATTTTTTCAAGTATATAATATATATATATATATATATATATATAAAGTAAACTATAAGTATAATGTCGTCATGTTCACTTACTAAACTAGCATTATACTG